AGTAGTTCTTCAGAGAAAGGCAGACGCAGAGGCCTGTCAGTGTCTGTGGTATCCACCCCCCCCCCTGCCCATGCCTGTCAGAATGGATATGGTGTGACCTTGGAGAATGTTGTTCGCTCGGATCAGGCGGAATACCCTACATTTGGCTGTTTGGATTTGCCACTGAGAAGCACCAGCGAGACTTTCAAGGAAAGCAGTGAACTGATGTCAGCCTGACCTAAACAAATTTCTGCTATCGGAATCTGGCTCCCCGGGCTGGCCTTGGCTGGCCAGCTATCCTCCCCTGGTTGTTTTGTCTAAAGAAGACTCTGTTCTGCTGCCCCCTTCCCTGAGAACATCTGTGGGCCCTGAACTGATAAGCTGGTGGTGAACTCTGACATCATGCTCACAGACAATCACAGACAATCGCGTGCTTCAGTTAGGGTTCATGGTCTGATACACACATAACTCACATGAGACCCATAAGCATGTCACACCTCCTCCTCGTACCCGGCTTGTTTTGTCTATATGTGTTTATATGTTGCTTATGTGCCGAGGTTTTTTTTCTTCATCTCAAGCTCTGCCCTGCAAAGAGCAGAGTGTGAAACAGGTGTTTTTTTCCTCTCCTTACCTGATGTTTTTCTTATTTTTCCTATTTCCTCTGCAAGGGAGGCGCCTGTCGGGCTGCGAGGCCTCAGCCAACTATCCCCCGTCCCATCCCCCCACCCCACCCCCATTGTGTGATGGATGGTTGTAACTGTAACTGCAATTTTGTTGTCTTTCTGACAATGACTATACAATTATTCTGATTCTGATCATTTTTAACTATTAATATAATTATATTCCTCTACAGTATATGGTCAAAATGTTGACTACAATGTACAAGTGACTTGTATCAATAACTTTGAAGGTCCCTGAACTTTATTGCTCTTAATTATTTTAACTATGGCAAACTTCTTGTTTGAGTTGTGATGCTTTTGTTTTGAAGGGACAATTTCCTGTTAGTGCAAAGGCAGCCTAACTGCAATAAAAAGACAGAAGATAAGTTGTAACAGAGCTTATCAAATGTATCTTATTAGCAGCACAATGTATATTTATGCTGTTAATAACATGCTTTAAATATTGTGTGATTAAAATTATGCATTTGTTTAATTGTATGCCAAAACTAAAAATATTTTAAGTAGTAAACATGTTATTTGGAGGGTTCATTGCCATTAAGTCTTAATATCATCAGTAAATTGTCATCCTTTGTAAAATCACCCAAAATCCAAAACAAACAAAGCTGCTTAACACTTTTAAGCAGGAAATTCATACACCCCTTTACTTTCCTTTCCATGGAGAGAAATATGTTGTCTATGATAAATGCAGGGAATACCACATAGAAATGAGAAACACTTCTGCATGGCTGTATCAGCTGAGCTGCTTTTGATTCATTACTGTTACATGACTGATACATTTCTCAGCTGGCCAACAACCTTGGCTGCAGTGACAACTGTGGATTAAAATATTTTCAGCCCCCTTTTCAGCAAGGTGATGAGTGGATGAAAGGTTTACATGGGCAAGCAGTATTTGCTTTCACAGCCATTCTTTTCCTACCCCTCCTCTTTACGGTGCTCTGAGAGATAAAGACAAAATGGATGGTTGTAATGGTAATGAAACGGCTGGCTGCAAGGCTAAGCGTGACTTCAAAATGGATGTAGAGGCAGAATAAGAGGATGTTGTTACATTAAATTACCCCAGTGTTTCAATTTTGCTTTCTCATTTAGTGTATTTCTACCCATTGCCCTGTTCTAGTTTCTCAGGGAAAATGTAAACATATGTTGATGACTGCTTATAGGTCTGTGAAGTTTTTGGCAGTCTCAGGATTTTTGTCAGTCATTTACAATGCAAAGTGAGGCAACTGGTCATTTTGTTATCTTGGCAAGTCAGTCTGTTGTAAATAGCTCTGAAGTTATCTGGGCGGCACAGTCATTCGGTTAGAAGTAATTGGATAATTAATTATGTTCTGGACAGTTCAAACAGATTTTTGTCTCATGCCCTCTACGACCAGGAGGTTCTCACAGACTCATGATTGATGCGCCTCAGTATAAAGATGTGATCTTATATGTCATTGCATGACTGAATTACTAAGATTGAATGCTGTTCTTTTTTTCCAGTTATCCTTATAATGCAGACAGGCTGAATGAAAATTACTTGACATGTCAAATCTGGTAGGTTTGCTTTTTCCCCCTGTAACTTTATGACTGAACCAACAGTGTTCTACTTTTAGTTTTTTTTTTTTTTTAATTGACTTTCCTTTGTTATAGCTGACTCAGAGTATGGAAGCCTAACAGGTGAACATGCAGACTTATTTCTTTGTGCATGGGAAGCTGACATGGTGCCAAACTAAAAGACATGGACAAAGGTATTTATATGGTGGAATAAGAGATTTGTGAACTTTGTAAATAACATCTTAAAAATATAAAACTTAATTCAGGTCCTGATATTAAAAGAGGAGAAAAGTTTACAAAAATGATTTTGTAGGGAGAAAAAAAACAATAAAATGTATTTTGAAATGGAAAGTCTCATTTCAAACGTTTTTTGAAATGGAACGTTTTTTGAAATGGAAAGTCTCTTATATAATGTCAGCCATTGATAGGAAGGTAAATTGATTATTAAATAAAAAGGTGGGTGATTTGTCTTTATAGTGGCCCATATACAAAACACTACAACATTAACGAAGCACAATTACAAATACAAAAACACTTCAACATTACGGAAAACACAACACATTAAGAAAAACACAACACATTATTACATGCTTTTCTAAACAACTGTTGAAAAATGTCAGTGATTTTAGTGAAACTTAATACAGCACTGACAGACAGCGGTGTATATATGTTCCCAACTGTGGCTAAAGCTGCTGCTAGCTGGTTTATTCTCCAATCGGAGGCTGTTTATTATATACANAGAGTAGAGCCGCTGATTTTTCACTTCGAGAGGAGCCAGCTGAGGTGGGTCAGGCATCAGATTAGGATCCCTCTTTGACGCCTCCCTAGTGAGGTCTTTTGGGCACGTCCCACTGGGAGGAGGCCCTGGGGAGACCCAGGACACGCTGGAGGGACGATGTTTCTCGGCTGGCCTGGGAACATCTTGGGATCCCCCTGGAGGAGCTGGAACAAGTGGCTGGGGAGAGGGAAGTCTGGGCCTCTGCTGACCCTGCAACCCGACTGCAGACAAAGGGAAGATGATTGATTGATTGATTGATTGATTGATTGATTTTTCTTCAATAGCTTATGGGTCATAAGACCCATAAGTTAATTGGGTCTTAACTCAAAATCAATGTGAAATTATTCTACTAGACTGGATAGGTGGTGCACACTCATTTTTATTCCATTTAGCCCTTTTTATTCCTCGTCAGTGGGTCACATGAAATTTAAGCTATTAAACAATCTTTTTTTTTTTGTTTTAAATTTGTAAATTTAAATTATGTAAAACATTGATAAAGATCTAAAATGGGGAAAAATGTGGGTGCCTCATCTCTAATGATTTGTAAAACACTTTCAAAGTGGGTTTGAATCAATAGGACACGTCTTGGAAGCTATTGCAAAAACATACTAAATTTTGACAAATAAAATTGCTAAAAATAAAAAGAATTGTTAAAATATGAAACAAATGACTGTGCCCCATCTATACAGGATACTAGAACAATTTCACACTGGTTCTGGGTCAATAGGTCACATGACCTGGAAGCTGTTGAATAAAACATATTATTTAATATTAAAATTATTGAAAATATTGAATTTAAAATTTTATAGATGCTATTTTGGCTCATGTAAAAGCCTGAATTAGCACTGACAATTAGTTCGTTGGTTACAATTCAAGGCATTAACGTTTCTTTGACAGGAATGTTTGGTTCGGTAATTTGTTGATAGTCCCTAAGTGAACCTTCGGGCGCTGCGGCCGGGAGCGGTGGAGAACCGCTGGCCGACAGTAGCGTTCATAAATCGGATCAACCTTGAGCTAAACGCCGCTTACTCCCCGGAGCTCGAATATCCAACTTGAAACTAACTTCACAGCGGTTCTCTCAACGCAATTGATACAATTTTTTCCACTGGGAAACAAGGTAAAGGGGAACCCTCATGTCCCAATGGGTCATTCTTCGCTGGATATATGATGGATTCTACATGGAAGTGGAAGACTGTGTGTCTGACGATGCCGTCAGTCGAGGATGTTGAAGATGTGTACATGATTGAATTCACGATAACAAGTTTTCTGCTTATTGGAGTTGGCGCATACCTGGCTTATCTGAAATTTCGGAAGATGCCAGCTGCAGTTTTGGCCACTTCAAGGCTGCCGGGTCCGGTTGATGTGATCTGCAGAGCGATCAACACTCAGACTGAGATGATACAGGAGCTGAGCCGCAGACTGGAAGCGATCCTGGAACAGGACTGTGGCCGGGCAGTGGATCTCGGACTCAGAATGGGTATGGTGTGACCTTGGAGAATGTTGTTAACTCGGATCAGGCAGGAGACCCTAAATTCGGCTGTTTGGATTTGCCACTGAGAAGCACCAGCGAGACTTTCAAGGAAGCCATTCAATTGATGTCACCTGACCTAAACAAATTATTGCTATCGGAATCTGGCTCCCCGGGCTGGCCTTGGCTGGCCCGCTATCCTCCCCTGGGTGTTTTGTCTTAAGAAGACTCTGTTCTGCTGCCCCCTTCCCTGAGAACATCTGTGGGCCCTGAACTGATAAGCTGGTGGTGAACTCTGACATCATGCTCACAGACAATCATAGACAATCGCGTGCTTCAGTTAGGGTTCATGGTCTGATACACACATAACTCACATGAGACCCATAAGCATGTCACACCTCCTCCTCGTACCCGGCTTGTTTTGTCTATATGTGTTTATATGTTGCTTATGTGCCGAGGTTTTTTTTCTTCATCTCAAGCTCTGCCCTGCAAAGAGCAGAGTGTGAAACAGGTGTTTTTTTCCTCTCCTTACCTGATGTTTTTCTTATTTTTCCTATTTCCTCTGCAAGGGAGGCGCCTGTCGGGCTGCGAGGCCTCAGCCAACTATCCCCCGTCCCATCCCCCCACCCCACCCCCATTGTGTGATGGATGGTTGTAACTGTAACTGCAATTTTGTTGTCTTTCTGACAATGACTATACAATTATTCTGATTCTGATTCTGACAAATGCTTTCTCTGTTTAATTGCTCTATTGTTCTTTTTTGTAGGTTCCTGTTAAGTGCGGTGGTCCAGTGAATGGGAATGTTAGGTCATTGACTCTCACTGAAACTAGAAATGTCAGTTAGTCTGGAGTAATACTGGAATACTGTGACATTTAATTAAAACAATACTCTTTTTGATGAAATATTTTTCACATTTCCTCTAAAGTGCATCTATTTTTATTGTGCTAATTTTCATAAGCATGTTGCCTGTAAACTTTTAATATATAGACAGTTTGTATAATTCCGTGATAGTATATTGGCAATGTACTCTTGAAAAATGTGAATATACTGAATACACAACGCATTTTTTTAATTGTACAGTGTATGGTAATTGATCTTTCTGTGTTCTGCAGTACTGCAGTGTGTATGAAGCATGTAATGTACAAAGTGGCAAAGCAGAATAATAAGACATTGATAAGTAACTAAAAAGTGTACTTCTGATAATAGCAGACTCAAGCACAATGATGATTAGTGTGGCTTCAAGTATGCTCAAATATGCTAAAATGTTATATACTTAGTATATTTATTTTTCACAAGGGTTAAGTCCATCGTCCATCCTCCTTTTTTAATTTTCTCAACATGAACTTGTGGCAGAGTGTAAGAATGAGCCCAAACTCTTTCTAAGGATACAATAAATTCTAGAGAAGTCCAGTAATCTACTGTTACCTTAGATCTTCAGGCACATTACAGGCAGAACTTATGGCCATTTAAATAACCAAAAAATAGTATTGAAGTGAAGGGATAGTGACACTTACGGAGAGATGATCCAGCAGATCCTCCTCGTAGGATCTGGTTAAGAACATCATCTGTGTCACTAGTGCTCGCCATGCTGTTCCTCATCTGCATCATAGAAAGCTGAGAGCACAGGCTGGGCTGACGATCCATCTTTTTCACTGCCTGGAACACAACCACCACCAGCAGCAAAGTTCTGGTAACACAATCAGTAAGAAAACATTGTTGTGTCTTTACAAAGTTCTCCTCACCTTATCGCTGAGTGTGGGATCATTTAGAGTGTACAGTTTGTTGGTGATGTCCTTGCCGATGAGGTACTTGAACACCTCATTCAGGAAAGTGTCTGATTCTAGGAAGTAAGTGAGCCGTTCTCGAGACCAACACAGGAACTTGCAGTTCTCTTCTGCCACTATTGTCACCTATCATTAAGAACACATCAATACAATTTTCACTCATTTCCAAAGTTGGTACTGTAAGCATCTACAGTGCCCACATGAACATCAGAACTGAACCAGTGTATTGGAAAATGGTGGGCTGGTTGGGGAATGAGACTGTCAGGCAAGAAAAATTACAGCAAACTTAATTTTTTAAAGGATTTTCTTGCCTCTACTGGCCTGTATTTGACAGTGAGTAGTCAGGAGAGTGGGTTATGAGAGAGAGGGAAGACATTAGGTAACGTTCAAGAGGCTGGGACTCTTGGCCAGAAGTCGGACCTCTGACGGCCGAGTAGAGGACAAAGGTCTCTGTACTTAGGTGGTGTGCTTTCCCCCTGTGCCTCTGCCATGCCCTCAACTTATACTATAACTTGAATTTTGGCTTCAAAATTCTGCAGACCTCAAGTCAGACAATTCTTTGTGGGATTTGTTGAGCAAGCTAATCCTATCCCTGGAGGCCCCACTTTACTACTACCAGTATTTAATGGACTTACTGTCCATTACTGCATTTTGGTTTCTTGCAAGACCCTAAACTAGTCCATGCACTGGGAGGTTAGAGCTTATCTGGTTACAACACAGACAGTTACTCAGTCTAGGCTTGAGTAGATCATGATGTCATAGGCTGGTGTATATGCATATTTATGTTTTCTTTGACTTTCTGCTTTTTACCTGGAACTTCTCCCCTCTGTGCATCTCAGTAGACCTGAACTCCGGAGAATCAATGAATGAGTTGGTATAGATGTTGTGGAGGAAATGACCTCGATATGACACCTTCATCCTGTGCCAAAAACATTCAATTCACAATTCTTAGCAATTTTATAAACTACTGATAACAATCGTCAATAAGTGCTACTACTGGTAAAACCTTGAAGACTTAGCCTTCCTACTGACCGGTAGATGCATAATGGAGCAAACTTTTCTGATCCCATAAATATTTATAAATGAAACTAAAAAAACCTCAAGTAGTTAAGGTAAGTATGGATGCTATAGTTTTCTGCCAGGAGCCATGATTATTCAGATTATGCTTCAGTCAGGAAGTGTGAAAGACTATAGCTAGCCATGCTGCAAACGTAACTTACTTTCCTTTGAGCAGGATACTGAGGCGTTCATCTACAGAGGTCTTGTCCTCAGCAGCATATGCTTGGCCTTTCTTCAGAGTCTGGATGGTGCAAAACTGTCCTGTGAGCCTCTGAAACAAAGCCTCCTGCACATGGAGAGGCTCAAACATCCGCTTGTAGACAGCCCGCAGCTCCCTGTCGATCTTAATCTGAAAGAGCACATTCACACCCCCAATTCATCCTTATAATAAACTACAATTACTTAAAATAATCATTAATGAAAACAAAAAAGCTTTCTTGGGTATATTGCTTGTAAAAACCAATTTGAGAGACAGTGACTAGATTATACAGCTGAGGGCAAAAGAAGGTTTCTTTGCATCTTGCTATGAATCTTGGTCTCATTCTAGTGACTTGATGGAGATCCATTACTTGAACAGTGAGTCCTGATGCTGCCTGAAGATTCTAAGCATACAAATGGGTCAAATGTCAGAGGACATGGTGATCATTAGCTTAGGTAGTGATGGAAAAACTAAAGACTGTGCTTCAGCATTAATATTTTGTTTCCCAACTGTAAGAAGTAATGGTAACAATATGATGAAGAGAGAGCATAGAGTATGGTGATGCAGAACTCACCGGCCTGCGCTTATATAGGAGAAAGAATAAGTGCATGAAGTTGACCACCAAGAACACCACGTTCCAAACCATCACATCAAGGTTGCAACGATACAGAGTGGCCCAAACAATGAAAAGACTGCATCCTGTCAAAATAAAGCAAACAATGAAGCAAATAAACGAGTGCAGGTCCAGCCAATTAACCTCTGCATGCAACTCATAATAAAATTATTCTGTGCAGCTCATCTCAACCCAATGCAATGGAAGAGATGAAAGAGGCAATTCCACTACCCTTCATTGGTATGCTGCTTATTTAAGAAGAACTGGTTAAAGGTGTACTGTAATGGTAAGTAATGTTCATGGAATTAGCTAAATTTCTCTTCTATTTCAATATGTCACTTTATAAGCAACATATTTTTATATATTTATTAAAATCGTCACTGCACCCTGACAGGATAATATGAGACAGAATCTGAGAAAAAAATCAAGCTCCTCTGCCTCCTCCCTGCCATCTGAAGAAATACACCAGTCCTGGTCAGAAACAACCAATCAGAGTCAGAAAGAAGGTATCACCCTTGTGTATGCACTACTCACACCCTCCACCATGATCTCTGCTGAGCTACAGCTGGTTCACCACAACATAACCAGCCATGAAGGCCAGGCTAGTTAGCATCGCCACCAATGATGGCAGAAACAATGTTTTCCTGGAACTGTGAGTTGTTGTGAGTAATCCTCCCAACCCCACTAGTGACAAGGATGTATAGAAAATGGTGGATGGATGATAAAATGTGGGAAAAAATGTATGTGAAATACAAATAGATAAATATAATTGAACAATCTGACCAAATTCGTCTTTGGTTTGGTCATCCAGCTTTATAAAGTCTCTTAGAGCTAAAATCTTGTTGATGTGTTTGTTTTGGGAATCTTACAAACATGCTGTATAATATTTCCTTTTCATCTTTCCTAGATTACTTCCTTTTGTACTCCAGGACATTAAACATTTGTGAACCTTTAGGATCATAAATTACAAGACCTTACGTTGCCTAAAGTAGGTCTTTGTTCATTTAAATCAGACAAATTCATCAGGTACGAATGAACCACTGCCTCTCAAAACCCTGATGTGCAGTCAGGGGAGGAAGGTCAGGCAGTGCCTCACCTGTAATCCTTACAAGTTAAATAGGTGCATGAGAGGTAAAATAGATTCTAACAATTATAACAAAAAATCTATTTTTACACTTGATATTTATTTTAATATTTTTTTATTGGTAATATGTCAATATTTTTATGGTCAAAAATCGCTGAATTTATGCATTGCCTGTTGGAAATACATTAGAAGACCAGGGTGAGGCAGTGCAGTGCTGTGCTTCACCCTTGGTGGCGCTGTGTCACAAAAAAGCAAATGAACAGTTTGTTGCCGAATGCTTATTGGTGTTTTCCCAATATTGTCAATATATTTATAAAACATGTTTATTTACATGTTTCATATAAGCAGAGGTTCTGCTGTCTGTCTATTTAATGAATGTGCGAGACAAATTAGTCTTTCTTAAATGAGCAGTAAAAATTTGCAGGGTGAGGCAGAAAGTACCGTGCCTCTCTGATAGGGGGCAGTACTGAGCCTCGTAAACACAAGAAGCAGCAGGTGCTCTTCTTCTACTTATTGAACAGATTGAAAACAATCAGAAAAATAGAGAGAATACAGCTGGAATTAGAGATGTGCCGATCAAGTTTTTTCCTCCCGATACCGATACCGATCACCCATGAGGGCCGATCA